TGTGTGTGTGTGTGTGTGTGTGTGTGTGTGTGTGTGTGTAGGGTAATATAAGGTTCCCACAGCAGGATCAGATTGAGTTTATGGATCAGACAGATAAAACTCACTGTGTGTTTTTGTTTAAATCAGACAAGCTTAATGATAATCTGACTCTGCTATGGTGTGGTACTAGCGCCAAAATTAAGACTGTTGAGCAGCCAGCGGTGGCTACATCCTTGTAGCAGAAAGTTAAATCTATTTCAAAGCCAGTTACTGATCTGATTAATGACAGGTCGGCACCGATAACTCAGAAGAAGATTAACGAGTTAGCATTAGAGAGGCTAACGTCTAGCATGCCTAGGCTGGTAACTCACTTTAATAGACACATACTTTTTTTAAATAAAACTTTTTAAAGAAAATGCATTAAGGCCAGACAGATTCTTTTTTAATTACCAGAATAAAGTCGGTATACATGAGACTAGTCATATTAGCTAAATAAAAACGCCATATTAGTAGAAGAAAGTTGTAAAATCATGAGACAAAAATCTTCGATAGTTATCAAGATGATCTGACGTGACCAACTCGGTCGAACCGCAGCCGATTAAAGATTGAATATTTCCTTATTTGTAAAACCAATACCAAAGTATAACTTCATAAGATGCTCTACATTCTTCAATTTAACACAGTTGCTAGTCACTAGCCTCTCCAATGTTAACTCTAGCTTAGATATGCTAGTCACTAGCCTCTCTAATGCTAACTCTAGTCTGGGTATGCTAGTCACTAGCCTCTCTAATGCTAACTCTAGTCTGGGTATGCTAGTCACTAGCCTCTCTAATGCTAACTCTGGTCTGGGCATGCTAGTCACTAGCCTCTCTAATGCTAACTCTGGTCTGGGCATGCTAGTCACTAGCCTCTCTAATGCTAACTCTGGTCTGGGAATGCTAGTCACTAGCCTCTCTAATGCTAACTCTGGTCTGGGCATGCTAGTCACTAGCCTCTCTAATGCTAACTCTGGTCTGGGTATGCTAGTCACTAGCCTCTCTAATGCTAACTCTGGTCTGGGCATGCTAGTCACTAGCCTCTCTAACGCTAACTCTAGTCTGGGCATGCTAGTCACTAGCCTCTCTAATGCTAACTCTAGTCTGGGCATGCTAGTCACTAGCCTCTCTAATGCTAACTCTAGTCTGGGCATGCTAGTTACTAACTCTCCAATGCTAATGCCAGCAAGGAATGCTAGTCACCAGCCTCTCCAATGTTAACACAAGCCTAGATGTGCTAGTCATTTGCCTCTCCAATGCTAACTCCAGCTGAAGCATGCTAGTCACTAGCCCTCCAATACTAACTCCAGCTGAAGCATGCTAGTCACTAGCCCTCCAATGCTATCGCCAGCTTCTCCAACGCTAACTCCAGGTTAGGCACGATAGTTACTAACCTCTCTAATGCTAACGCCAGCAAGGCATGCTAGTCACTAGACTCTCCAATGCTAATGCCAGCTTCTCCAATGCTAACCCCAAACTACTAGGCATGCAAGTCACTAGACTCTCCAATGCTAATGCTAGCCCTTCCAAAGCTAACACACATGAACAGTTTCCTCATCTGCCAGCGCTGGCCTCTCAGTTACCAGTAGCTGGCTTTGGGGTAGATATACCTTCTGCTACAAGGACATACCACTGCTGGGTACACATTAGTCTTAAGTTTGACCCTAATACCACCCCATCTCTGCCACATTGTGTGTTTCTGTTGTCATTCTGCCTCCTGTACATCATCAGAAAATAAACACCACGTGGGGGGGCCTCTACATCGTTTTCAGTTTGTCACTGCTACATCTTTTGTGTGTGCTCACAAGAGCGTGGAGACAATATGCGTGATGGGTAATCATTGTTTAATGAGATGTGTAAATACCCAGAGATAAATTACTGTGAACAAACACTACTTGCCATTGCTTTTCTTTTCCCTCTTTCCCTCCCTCAAGCTGAGTCGCTCATTGTTCTGAATGAAAAGGGAAAAAAAAACATTAAAGAAAATCTTGAGCTGTTGCTAAAAGATTTCACTAATAATAATGATTATCTTCAGCAGCTGAGCAGCAGCAGCTTTCAGAGGAGGTGGAAGTGGAAAATTGGAGGGTTGTGTTTTTTGGGGAAATAAGGTGCTTCCTTCTCTGTCTCTCTCGCTTCCCTTAAGGCTATTAGCATTTGTAAAATGAGGCGGCACATCACCTGCCCACCTCACAAACCTGTGGAGCTGCGTCCTTGGGGACAGTTCCCTAGCAACAGCATCCAAACTAACAGGCGGCGAAGCGCAGAGGAGGATGGTGTCAAATGTGAACGCTGTGAGGACCGGAATGAATGCGGAGAACAAGGTTCCAAAACTCCTGTTTGTGAGGTCAGAGCGGCTTCTGCTCCGGTTTTCTTCTCTGAAAATGAGGTGGCGTGATTTCAAAGAAAAACACAACAGCTTCATTGTCTCGCTTCCCTTTTTTTTTTACTGTGGTAGGCACATCAAAGCAGATCTCTCCCACCAGCCCTCGAGCTATAAACTCAACCAGATTTTTTTTCTTCCCCCCTCCAACTTTCCTTTTATATCTTTCAGATCTATGTTCCTCTCTGAGCATCACCACGGGTTCACACTTTAAACCGGTTCAACCTCGTGGTTGTTCAGCTGCGCTGTGATCCTACATTTCACTTCCTCTTGCTCCATCACTTCCTGTCAACCACAGACCTTTAACTCTCATCATATGAAGAGAACAAACTAACCATCATCATGTGGATTCAGCTTTGTTTTAAGGCATTAATTGTGCTACAGTTTTAACAAAATATCTAATAAAACTACACGTGAGTCTGTCAATGTAATACACAAGGTGAGTTTAAAAGTATCAGGACACTCATTACTTTAGAAACAAAAGAGGAAAATTAAATATCTGAATACCCCAGTACGAGTCTATCTTTTAGGATATGTTCACAATATGGCCRCCATCTTWAAAGTGCCAGTGACATCAAATTTTTATAATAAATATGAATGTATTGTTGGAAAGACAACACTGATAACATATTGTAAAAAAGATTTCATGCCGCTGAGATGAACAGTTGTTGAGATATTCACATGTAAAGAAACAGGAAGTGATGTCAAACAGGAAGTGATGTCAAAGGGGAATGTCTGAATGTAAACAGTGTTGCTAAAATGGCTAACGGCACAGACTGTAGAGAAGAATCTGATGTTTCTTCAGATTATTTTAATCATTATCATAGAGAGATGAGAAAGAGTCATTGTTCAAATAATATTGTTTCAGTAAACAAAAACCARGAAGTTTTCTTTCTCAAAGAGTTCCCCTTTGATGTCACTTCCTGTTTCAATTTAGCTGAGCAAAATTCAAAAGAAAATATGCCAACTATGTGACATAACGGGTCAAATCATGTGTAATATGCCGAGTTTCTTAAAAATAAACATATTTTCTTTGACTTTTTGAATTTCATGGATCTGCACGTCACAGGCACTTTAAAGCTGAATTAAAGTCAAACTTTTCCAACATGAAGGGAGTTATATAGCATATCAAAGATCAGAAATGAATCAAAACATTTGTTATTTTTCACAGGTAACTGAAGAAGGAACTGATAAATATTGGCACCACCAATACCAAAACTTTCTGCTCTAAAGTTATTACTAAAATCAAAATATAAATACTTTGATACRTCAGTCATTTCAGTAACATCTATCATTAACATGAATACAGTGGAAAGTAGTGTAATATGTTCATGTAACATAAATTAAGTTTTCATTTCATAGTAATTCTTGATAACTGAACAACAACCAGTGGTGGGMACAGTTCCTCTAAAGCACTGTGACTCATGTTGTCTGTTGAAGGATGTTTATGGGCTGACTGAGTTATTTTAGTGCTTTACAATTAGCTTTTGCTAAAACTTTCAGTGCATTAGTGCTTTAGAGTTAGCTTTTGCTAAAACTTTCAGTGCATTAGTGCTTTAGATTTAGGGGACCTAAATATTTGAGTTAGTATTTTAGTATTTTACTAATGTTTAGATTAGTGCTGCCCACCACTGACAATACTTTATTATAATGGTTTTAGTATTTTACTTCATTTTTATTGTTAAAAACAACTTTTTCACATTTTGTATGATTGTGCAATGTGTTTTTTTTTTCTTTCTGGTATATTAGCTCGGCTAAATGAGGACGCTGCATAAATATACTAAGTTAAAAAAATACATAAATTACTCTGATATCTTTTATTGCACGTTTCAATATTGGATCAGTACTGCGGATACCAGCCTGAGTTTTACTCTCATAAATGTGACCCATCATATCGAAATGAGGATTTAGTCAAATTTGGTCAAAATGATCTAAYTACATTTTCAGATTCCTGCTTTAAAAGCTACATTTTGATACCTGGATCATCCTGATATCATAAGCTGATCCAGAGATATGACCTAATTTGTCTTGTTGGTTAAAATGATACGTTACTGTTTGGTCTGAACCCTAATTTTATGCATATTTATTGAGTAAWTTTTATGTTAATATAAAGAGGAAACCTCAAGTAGTATTTGTATATTAATATTTCCCAGTTGGAAAGAAACAAAAACATTGTGAACTCACAGGGAAAAAAAAAATTTAAGGCGTTTTTCATCAAAATCCGTTTTTTTTTTTGTTACTGCTCARAAAAGGCTTCATTTTTTTTAGGATTACATTTCAGACAGTTCATTCAAATGATACATTGATAAGGCATATATTCATTATGTTTTGGCAAAATGCATTTTTTGCACACGCTTAAATCAAAATTTCTCTACATTCCACTTTTGGACTAAATCCTGGTTTCGATGCGATGGGTCACAAACATTACTGGTGTTCATCAGCAGGGACGATCATCTTTCTGTGTTGATAAATTACAAATTACAAGAGATACTGACAATCTGATTACAAAAATCCAYTTCTGAGACAATTCTAGTCTTTAATACGGTACATGACCTCCTTCTCATTGGACAAACTGACTTTGATCCGATATGGCGGGTTTCAGAACGGCAGCCATGTTTTAGCTATCACCTAAAAGACAGACCCTCTCAGGTAAACTGCTGGATTATTCAGATATTTTAACTTCTCTTTGGTTTCTGCAATAAAAGGGCGTCCTGAGACTTTTGACTCACCCTGCACGATCGAGGAGAATGAGAAACGCAGAGCAAACAGCCACCAATCTGGTCAAATCTACACGAAACGAGGYGATTATTATGGATAATGTCTGTGGACCGCATCGTGTTGGTGCACATTATAACCCCCCCTCCTGCACCCCCCGCGGTGTCTGGAATTGCACAGAGAGGAGGAGGTGGGGAGTCGGCCTGAAGCTCCTTCTGTCAATTTCTCCTCAAACAGCAGGAGAACAATCAGACCTCAGGGAGGAGGCCTGCACGCTGTTATTTATCGGCATATATTTCGTCAACAAGACACAAATCCAGTGGCGGAGCAGACAGCTTGTCTGAATTCAAAGGAGAAAATAAACAGATCTGTGTTCTGCTGAAAGGAGGAGCAGGTTTTCGTGCCGCAGCACAGCATCCTAACAATCACGCAGGAGGAGTCTGTGTGTTTCTGTGCAGGATGCAGGATGGTGGATTGTACATGGAGTGCATGTACAGCAGCATAAACGCGTGAAAATGAAAGCGAAGCGACGAGAGCGGTGTGACGAGCGGGAAACACGGCGTGTGTGAACGCAGGCGCGATGCTAGCGGGCACTTCGGGCTGTCGTAAGTAAAGCGTGGGTTTAACGTCCATCTCGCCGTGGAAAGGAGCTCGTTTTTTTTGGACGGGGGGGATTCTCCTCACAGATGCAACCAGTCGGCACAAACTGGATCTTAAAACTCAAAAACAAACAAAGGAAGAAACGAAACGCAGACGTTAAAATAAAAGAGATACGTGAGTCACTTCCTGTTTAGCTTTTTTCAAGTTCTTCTCGTGGAATTTGTGCTCTGAAGTGTCGTAAAGCTCCACACCTCTGATGGACTACACAGAAACTGGTAAGCACAGTGTCTTGGCCGGGCGTCTCTGACTTCCTGCTAACAACGGTTTTCTTTTTTTYYTTCTTGAAATATGTTTTTTTTGCTTGTGAACGTGGAGCTGTGAAGCACAGCCGGACCAAAGGGGCGTCAGTGTGAGCCTCTAGCAGTTTGCATGAGAAATGCTTTTTAGTGCACAGCGTTAGTTCTCAGGGTCCAAGCTGCTGCTGCTGCTGCTGCTGCTGCGGTCACAGCGTCCCGGCGCAGTGCTGCCTGACCTCGGCTCCTCCCCTCAGCTCTCAGGCAACCTTTCAGGACGTCATTCTGCTCCTCGAGTCCCGCTCTGGGGTCAGATGTGTGAGGTGGTGCCTGAAATTAGGAAAGGAAAGGAAACAAGAACGATTTTACAAGTTTGGGAGCACATGTAGACCAAGAAAATGACGGAGGCAAATGTGTTTGTGTCTCGTTAGCAAAATATCTCTTGAACCAAAAGTTGGATAAAAAGAACAGGACACAAGATCATCCAAAACTGATTTGGGAATCCACCTCGTTCAAGATGGCTGATGTTAAAAAAAACACAAAAATCATCACTCAGCTCTGGATTCATTTAAAAATGTTGCCATTAGGAGTCAACTCTGTCTGTCTGTTAGCAAAATATCTCTGAAAGCAGTGGACCTTACTGAAACTTTCAGGAAATCTTCATTAGATGTGCACGAACTGATTCTCTTTGGAAGCAATTCCAAGATGGCTGCCACAGCTGATCAACATTCACCAACACAGAAATGACTAATTAACTCTACAGATATGGAGCCTAAACCTGTCGTCACATCTCATGCTGCACATGAACGCTTTAACTAYAGCTAGGGGTGGAACAAYACATTGATTAAATTAAACGATTAATGATTCAATTACATCAAGACAAAATGAAAACATCGATCCGATGCTCCATGTGGATCAATATCAAATCGATCGCAGACTTGTGAATTGATTTGAATCAATGTGAAATAGAGAAACATCGTATCCTTAGTATAACCTTTGTATACATGTGAACCCCTACAGACGTTTATCTTGACCCTGAAAAATCAGACATTTTTAGTTGGAAGATGATTATTTATTTTTATTTAATTATTATTGAGACGTGTTGTAAACTTGAAGCTGAGTTTTTGGAAAAATCYGTGAGATTTCTGTACACCTCTGTAAAATTGTGTAATTTATGGACAATTCATACAAGTTGACATGTATGAATTTGAAGACAGATAAAATGTTAACGAGGGCCAGATTTGGCCCTCGGGCCTTGAGTTTGACTTCTGCTCCAATTGAAAAAGGTTGATTATGATAAAGCCTGTCGTTCAGTTTACTAAACTTCATGTTTTCATGTGTTTATAAAGTTTGTGACAGTTATAATCTGTGTGTTTGTCTGGGTGTCACTTTTATCTCCCTCCTCCTTCGCACCATTTAACCCCCCCATCCCCCACTCAGATCTATCGACCCGCAGCGGTACATATCTGCTCTCCTCTCCATCGCTCACGCTCTCCCGGAGGCCGTGGGGAAAAAGGAAAGTCTCTGAAGTGCTGGCAAGCTGGAGCAGCACAGATGTGTGTCGTTCCGGTCTCTACTCACCCGGTTCTGAAGGGAAGACGTTCCTCAGCTGCTCGATGACCTCTTGGAGCTGCAGCACCGTGTCCTGCTCGTGCTCCAGATCGTCCCCTGACACGCAGAGGGAGAAACCTCCTTATTAATACGGAGGTGAAGGGAGGAGCGCGCGGGTTCACGTCTGGAGCCCGGCGGCACTTCGCTCACCTGCTGCTTCGGTGTCGGTGGTCTCCCGGCTCGCCGGCTCCCCGTGGCGACCCCCTCCAGACACAGGAGAGGACAGCGTGGAGAGCTCTGATCCGTTGGCCTCCGAATCATCTTTGGGCTGATGAAATATCCACACATCATCACTCAACCGCAATAACTCCTAAAAACACTTTTACTTCAGACCRCACTTATTAAGCTTTAGAAATAAAAATAAAAGTGAAGTTTTATTGTCCCTTTGAACAAAAAAAAAGCTGTTTTACTCAAAAGCTGTAACACACTCCTGAGAACTGATGGGCAAATTAAAGAGGGGAAACTGGAAAATCTCTGCAGAAACGTGTCAGAAATGGATGAAAGCTTCAGATGCATAATGTATTTCAGGAATATAAAACACAACAAGCATATTTTTGTTGTGAGCAGCACCGTAGCATGACTCTGGAGGTGAGTCATTTCAGAGGCAGCAGAGACTGGAGGAGAAAATAAAAGATTCCTACACCTCAGATTACGTTTTACCAGATTTTATTTTTTTAGAAGAAACGAAGCTGCGATGTTGTTCCACTGAGAAAATAACTCCAGCTGTAACGCAACGCACCGAAAATATTCTCTTTTCCTTTCAACTTTCGTTTTCCAGGCAGATTCCTGGGACCTTCTCCTCTTCATCACTCTGCTCCCWCCTCATCGTTTACAGTTATTTCCAATAAGATCACAACAATAACAGCGCAGCAGCTTTCCCCTCCTATCCAGTTGTTAAACCTCCCTGCAGTAAATCCTTTAGCATCAAAGCTTTCAGCCTTTTCTTCTTTGTACCCGTTTTTTAAATTTAAATCTGTTCAGTTTTTGTCTTTTTGTTTGGGAATTACTTTATAGTCGTATCGACAGTTATTCAAGCAATGAAAAGCAGCTGAATTTAAATTTGATAATTTTAGCCTCAATGCCCCTGACTTAAAAACCACACACACTGCTGAAGACTGAAGCACAGCTTTAAAACCCAGCGGCTGTTCAACATGACGACAGGAAGTGATCTCACACCTGTTAGATTTAATGTTCTGCTAATCAGCTAATAGCTGAGCTCATCTTTCATTTAGTGGATTAGCTTATATWTTTTTTTACTACAGAAAACTGTTAGCGAACCAGTTAGCTTCTGCTAAATTAGGTTTTGCCAACTTTAAGCCTGCTAACAGCTAACTAACAAGCTAACATCAACAGGTTTGTGTAGACAGTCTTAGCGGTTAGCGATTAGCTGTTCTGCTGATTCCTTTGGACATATTTAGCAGTTTAATGAAGTTAGTTAAGCTCTATTTTTAGTTAGCGGATTATGAGCTAACAAAGCTAACGTTTTGATTGGCTGTGCCCACCCTCTGAAAATATCTCACATGATCAATGAGCTGAGACATTGACACTAAATATTATTAGTGATGGTGAGATGAAGCTTCATGATGCACTGAAGCTTTCCATCCAACTGGTCGACACACTAGTCGCAGCATCGTCGATGCTTCATTTGCTCTACTGCGCCATCAAGTGGACAATAAGTGTGAACTAGATTATAATGACTTGACTTGTTAATGAAGCTTTAAGTTGAATAAAGAAAAAGCATGTGTGTGTTTGTGATGACCATAAATAAAGTGTAAATTTGATTTGAATATAATTTTAATCTCTCCTGATCATAGAATCATCATTGATCATTTGATCGAATGAAAAAAGGAAAGGAAAGCGCATGGAGAAAAATAGGGAAATAGTATTGATGTGAATGTGCTTGTGTGGTTTTGAGATGGTGCTGATG